CCCCTAAATCCCTGGCTGATATGGCTCAGATGGTAGAGCATCATCCCATGCACAAAAGGTCACTGGTTTGATTTTGGAACAGGGCACATGCCTGGTTTGCCAGCCCGATCCCCAGTAGAGGGCATGCAAGAGATGATCCATGTTTCTCTCTCTCTATCAGCTCGCTCTCTCTCTCTCTTTCTCTTTCCCCTTCTTCCTTCATCTCTCTCTAAAATCAATATAAACATATTTTTAAATGCCCCTAAAACAAGTCTACAAAAAAGTCCCCTCAGTACTGAGTGATAGAAGGCAGAGACTTTGGTACAACAGATCTACTGTTTTACTTACTCGTGGACAATATTCTCCAGTAATGAAAATTTCAACCTATCTTGTTCATGAACTTTGTCTTCACTAAATTCCTGAATTTGTGATGTATTTATGGAGGGCACCAAATCTTTTAATAGATTCCCTAATTTTTTCTTCTCCTTAGATGATAGCATCTTCAGGTGTATTATACTAGTATTAAAATAATACTTTGAACAATAATGGTTCTCAAATTTCTATCTATACATTAATAACAAGTAGGTTATAGGTATATGTATCATAATTTGCAAACATGTATTGAATACCAACTGTGACATATATTAGTTTAGGTTCATAGATTTTCTGAAATAGGCAATTCAAGTTAATGAGGGTTGGTGATTCTTATGCACACTAGAACTATTTGGAACAATAATGGAAACATGCTGTACTTACTTGTTCTGTACTTACTACATGACAGTTACTATTTAAGTGCTTTACGTATATTAATCTATCTAATCTTTACCACAACCTGTGAGATAGGTGCTATTATGGCTGTTTCCAAGAGGAGGAAGGTGAGTGACAGAGATTTTAATTAACTTGCCAGAGTCACACAGCTGGAACATGGCAGAGCTCAAGTTTGATTCAGGCAATTGACTCCAGAATCTGCACTCAAACCCACCACACATCCTGCATACCCTGGGGCTAAAGCAAGAACTGAGTTTCCAATTTATACAATTCAAATCCCTGCTATATTATAAAAGGTTCTATTATTTAGCTATATTTTAAATATAAATGCAAATAATCACTTGCATTATGCCCTGAAATTCACAGAAATATCTAATATTTTTTTCTCAAAAGTACTAGAATATTTTATAGTTATATGACTGTGCTGTGTACATAGATTTTTGTATGCCCACATGATACTCTGACCTATGGAGAGAGGGGGTAGGCTTAAATGTGCAGATTTAGGGGCTACAGCAAGGGATCAAATCCAAGTGCCTTGACCTCTCTTAGCATCAGTTTTCTCATATTTAAATTGAGATGAAATCAGTATGCATCTCATAGGGTTACGTTAACCTACGGATGTAGAAGTGTTTAGTTTAATGTTTGCCATGTTCTAGGTACTCAGTCAGTGTTAACTGTGATTGTCAGTGTCACTGTTCCCATAATGTACTCCACCTGAGCTGGCATGGTAAGGACATGAGAGTTTCAATAGGGCAGAATAAAAGGTATCTTTTCAATCAATACTGTATCCCTCTATCACCATGAGTGATTGATTGTTCCTTAACCATCTTTGAACTTTAAGGGATATCAGTTTATTTTTGTCTGTTTCTGATAACTACTTACTTCCATAATTGCATCACATTCTGATTTAAAGAGTGATTTCATTTTGAAGGAATCTAGCAGTGAATATGACTCTAATGAGAACTTCAAATAAAGAAATCCTATCTTAATGACTGTGATGTGCAGAAACTGTTGTTAACAATCCATAGACGATTCAACACTCTATTTCAGGGTATGAAAGTAGAACTAAGGTGGCATTCAAAATTAAGGATTTGAAAGTGTGCATCTGAACAATGATGCTGCAAGTTACAAAGCAACCATACAAATGTATTTTGATGGCTTGGTATTAACATAGATGCTTCTGTTTTTATTTATTTTAATGATGGTCGGGTGGGTGCTGAAAATCGGATAGAGATTGTCATCTGGTTTCCTGAATTGACTTTTCATTATTTTGAAGAAAATACATTTTCTGGATAAATATTATTGAGGTTCAGGATACTATGTCACCTGCTGAGGCTTTGTATAAGGAGTTACAAAGAACTTTAGAGTTTTTGAAATTTTGCTTGTAACATAGAATATGTCATTAGAGTCTTGGTGAATGTTAGTTCCCCATTGGTATAGCATATACCATTATTCCTGCACATGTTTAAGAAATATACACATGGTATTTCCATTAGGATAATATTTACTTAAAGGAATCATCATCTACCCAAATTATAGAACACACACACACACACACACACACACACACACACACACACACACACACACAAATCATTCTCAAGTTATTATCCTTTGTTATTTGGTCAGTTAACAAGGATAATTATTTTATTTTAAAAATGTACCTTGAAATCTATTTCCTAATATTCTTTCTGGCCTAGTTTAGTTGAAAATTTGCCCACTCATGTATGTAGAAGCTGGATGAGTATCATAAAGGATACTAGCAAAATAGCGGGATCCTGAAACAGAAGGCCAGATGCTCTCAAGGGGGTACATCTAATAATTAGCTAAAGAGGATGTTTGAAACTTGCCTGGTATGGGAACTGAAAAAATATATATGAAAAATGGATATAGCTCATAGACTGCCAGTATGCAACCTTCATTTTACACTCTCATCTCTTTTCTTCTGGGCTGTGGCACTGGCTCCTGACTTCAGCTACATTTGTGTCCAATCTATCCTCAGGACACCGATAATTGTCTCCCTCTCTTTTTTAAAACAACTTCTGCATCACTACATTGAATGCTGCACAAAATGAAAGGCCAAATTCTCTACCATGACATGAAAGAGACCCTTCTTGGGTCTAGTTTCTCCTTTTTTTTCTGTTTTGCCACTCACCGTTCCCTTTCCCTTATATATTATTCTTCAGAAAGACAGAACTACATGCCTTTGTCCTAGTATGCCATGTTATTGATGCCCCTGTACTTGTTCTCTCTATCTGCAGCTTTGCCTTCATCTTGTCCAACTGGTGGCTATTATTCAAATCTTACTTATCACTCAGTATCTCTTTAAAGCCTCTCTCTCATATAGGCTTGCTAGGTTGTACTACAAACAGTCCTTAAGATACAGCTGTCTTAAATGCCTTACATGCATCACCCCGACCCACTGGAGTTTGTATTCCACATCTGCCCACTTTATTAACTTAGCTCTGTCCTCTTTTAATGCAAAGACTTGGACTCTCTGTCTCTCTGGTGTCTAGCACAGTGCTAGGCACGTAGTATGTGTGTCCTGTAATTGTGTGTGGATCTGAATATTAAGTTGCCTACACACTTTCCATATTCTGATACGAGTGTGGTAAGAAAGAGAATAATGAATGTTATTGTAGACATTTCTTAGGATGACAAAATTAATGATGATTATCTCTTAGGCAATATGTTGTTTTTTTTTGTTTTTTTATCTTTCAAGCCACCTAAGGACTATATGTTTTCAGATTCACTTTATTCTAGGAATGTCCGGTTTGGCATAATCAAATAGAAAGCACTGTTTAAAAAAGAGGGCAAAACCCCCATAAATCCCAGTCATGGGTTGATTTCAGAAAACACTAATACATGTGGTGTCACCAACTGCTGACTGATTGGACCATCTCAGGCACTGTCTCCACTGGTTGTGTTTAATGGACACTTATATAGAGTTTGGCTCATGATGTTGTTGGAAGCAATCTTCTCTTTACACTACACTGGGCACACAGTTCATAATTTTCTGACCTGTGTGATTTATGTGTCTGTTTTCCACAGCTTTTGTTTTGATATCAGAAACCATTAATCCTTCAAAGTCCTGAAGTTGTAATGTTAACTGCCAACTGCATTGATTTGCAATTGGCATGAGAGTATGCTTTAACCATTTACAAAAATTCTGATTTGCTTTGGAATGACAACCTTTTCTTTTTTACCACTGAAATCCTCCAATAAAGAATACCTTCTAACTCTTTAATAAAAATATATTTACTTAAACAAAATATATTCACTCTAGGCCTCTGAATTCATTTCCTTGGCTTTATATTAACCTTTTCATTAAAGCTAGTGTATAATGACTCGTAGTTCCCCTACTGCTGAGGTAACCATTAATAATTATTGTTTCTATGAAATTTTAACAATCTTTGTAAATACTAATATATGTTATCTATACATAAGTGACAGATATAACATATGCATATCTGAATACATATGTATATATACACATATATACATGTTATATTGTAGGGTGAGTCAGCTATATCTCTTGTTAGCAATCAGCAATATATTTTATTTTTAATCACCCTATATGTTTCATGAAGACAACATATTAAAAGCTATTTTGAGGATCATTAAAACTGTAATTTCATTCGTGTGTTCTTATAACCACTACAAATGTCACTGAAGCCTTTTTTAAATTACAGGCTTTTAATGGCTGCAGGGTATTCTTCACTTTTGCATAATTAATAAGAATAATGTAATTCTGCAGCCTTGATAGAACCTATGATAGTGATTTTTGGCATCATCAAATCTTTATATGAAATACCTTCCAAAGTTATGAATAGTTGTATTTGTTTGGAGCTGGCATGTATGGGGAAGATGACATGGCACAGGAGTTATTGAGAAGAAAACAATTAGGAATATGTGGATCATTCCAAATATATGTTAGCTTATCTATGAAGACACCTGCACACCTCAGTAATGAGAGTGTTTGCAAAAGAACATCAAGTCTCTAGGGAAAAAATGATCTAACATTAGCTTGTGTACAGGTAATTTATTCTTCTTTATAGGAATCCAGGGAGAAAAGGCAAAAAGCTATTTGTTGTTCACTTTTTTATCCCAGGTTTTCCCTAATTTTGAAAATATTCCAGGAATCTACTTCACTTAGAAAAATTAAGCATTTTAAACTAAATGCTGAAAATTCCCTTTTAGTCAACAGAAAAGATGAGACATTAACTGTCATTGGGGAACTCGGTGTTTTTCAGGGAATGATGTATCTGGAAGAAAGACGGCTTGTTCATCGCGATTTGGCAGCCCGTAATGTCTTAGTGAAATCTCCAAACCATGTGAAAATCACAGATTTTGGACTAGCCAGACTCTTGGAAGGAGATGAAAAGGAGTATAATGCTGATGGAGGAAAGGTGAGTATCTTTCTGAGAGCAATGTTGCTTGTAAGCATATTATGGTATCCTTTAATCTACTTATATTTTATAAGAAGAAGTCAATAAGCCTGAGATTTAAGAGATTACATAATCCCAATTCTACCATTTACATTTTCTCCTGCCAGAGTAAAAATATACAGAGAGAATTTATTGCCAACTTCTCTTTCTCAAAAGTAGCTCAAACAAAACAATGCATGTCTGGACCCAGGCAGTCCTTATGTCAGGCCCAGTGTGGGAAAGTGGGCGGGTCCTTAGGGAGGGACTCCAGAAATTAAACTTTAATGGAGGGCTATAGAAATCGTTGCATTGATCCTAAGAGCATAGAACTGACTCTTACAGAGGATACAATTGCTCTCTCATAGGCTGGAGAGAAGCTTGGCTGCTTACCTAGACCCATGGAAGACTGACCATCCTATTTAACTTCTAATCCTCATAACAGATTAAACAGATTCCTCTTATCTGACTTTTTTGTTTTTAGCTTTTATCATAGTGTAGGAGTTACCAATTTACTTTATTTATCACCTAACTCTTTCCACTGAAATGTAACTTGCTATATCCCAGGGGTCTGAATAGCTACAGTTTCTCCTAACTTTTCTGACCCTCCAGCCCCAGGCTCTGCCTGACAGCTGTGGCCCTGCCTCTCTAACTCACCAGCTGTTCATGGCTTACATCTTGTCTTTTCCCATTCTTGGCTAACCAACCAGTATGGTTTTCTTGTGGAGGTCCTTCTAGCTGGACTTGGGGGAACTTAGATCAGGAGAAGCCAAATGAAAAAACAAAAATGCAGCCTTAACTTCTGGTGACCCAATGCCAATACTAACAAAAAAATTGCCATTCATATATCACATAAATAGTATGTTGATTATATGCTTTATTCATCATGGACCAGCCAAATATATTTTGTAAATATTTTGAAGTGATAGGCTTCCAAGTGCTTATCATTGATTTTTATATTCAGTTCTTATATAGCCATATGTATTCAAATATTATCACAAGGCACAAAAATACAAAATTTATTTTTAAAAATACAACTGCAGTTTTGTAGTATTGTCTGGCTTTTTTCCTTGATTTTATTAGCCTATTTTGCCTGTTTATTACCCAATCACAGCAGTTTGAGACCATAGCTTTGAAATTCACTGCAAGATTGCACAGGAGCAAAAGTCTATAAATCACATGACTTCACTTGTCTTGAGAACATACAGCTGTAAGATTCGTCTAAAGCAAGATTCATTATAGCTTTAAATGCCTACTAACCATTAAGTCTTTATCAAGCCACCTGTGATTTAAACTTACTTCTTCACCACAATGTCCGCAATCCATAAAGTCAGCTAACTCCTTGCCCATAGGGAAATTATTTTCAATGTGTCTTCTGTTCCCTTTCACTGAATGCCATGATTCTGTCATGGAGTTACCTTGGTATCACCTTGGTGAGCAGCCAACCTCATGCTTTCAAAGGCCTATTTAGTTTTAAGCTTTCAACTGCCAAGTAGCAGTGTTTATCTTTATTCCATAGAATCTAGTTATATTTTCAGCTATATAATGCCGCTCTTCATAGTGAAACTCATTCTGCTGACCCATCAGCAGCAGGGTATGTGAGTTGCGTTGTTTTGCTTGTAGTGACGGTGGGTTTTGTACTGATTCCCTCACATTCTTTTATATAATTTCTGTACTGAAAATGGTTCAAATTTTCAACGCTAGCTAATCAAGATGAGAGAGATCATTTGGGGTTGAGGACCAGAGCAAGACTAACTTCGGGTTTTTTTATTTTATTAGGTGTTTTAGTGAACAAATTATATGAAAGGAGAGGGAAGGGGGAAAGTGTGGAGAGTCTATTTTACTGGTGGGCTGACATTTGTCTGAGGGTAAGAAGGGATAAGTGAGAATTCAAGGAATCTGATTTTTGGAGGCGATATAATATGATCCCATTTTATAGAAGTACATGTGTTGGTGTTTAGAATTGTAAAACAATATTAGCTAAGTTTAATTACTACATAAATTAAGAATTATAAAAATGATGCTTATTTTGTTATTTTAGTTTTCTCTGTTTATGAAGATTTAAAAAATAAATATATCTTTGGGTTAACTCATTTTAAGAATTTATAAAGGTCAATTTATTTGTTCCCTGTATTGAAAACAACATATTTACATTTGCAAAACACAGTCAAAAAATATAATTGAAGCAAGACTCACATTTAAGAAATCAATATAGAAAATATTTTTATATAACTATAAAATTTTCACTTTTTTATTTCTCTATAGATGCCAATTAAATGGATGGCTCTGGAGTGTATACACTATAGGAAATTCACCCATCAGAGTGACGTTTGGAGCTATGGTAAATGAATGATACTAAAATGTTATATGATACTAAAAAGTTATATGCCTAGGACATGACTACCCACCATGAGCTGCCCAATTAGAAATTTATGATCAGATCACCCTGTGAGGTTACTTTCCATAGAACACCTTTTTTTTTCATTCATAGAAGTGTTATGAGCTTAAAAAAGACTTCAGTTTGAATAAATAATTTATTACAGATGGCAGTGGAAAAGAAAACATAGCCTTAATTAATAGGTTTTATATTAAAAGATACTGAATATATGCATCAGTGACATTTCTCTTGGTAATACTATTGCCCAGATACCTATTTCTGAATGTAGAGTCTTTATTCTCAGGAAAACTATATATTTAGTCATATAATTACTAGATCATAATGAAGAAGAGATCTGTAATGTATGTATTATTGCTCAAATCAAAATCATTATTATTATCAAAGCTGGCTATCTGCATGCTCATATTTTAGGTGTTTGCTTTTACCAAGAAAATCAATGTTCTGATGATTCGAGAATGTTATTTTATTATCTAAGAAAAATGATTATTAATTTCTTTCAATTTTGTGATCCCCACTTCACATGTATAATATCTTACATATGGATTATTTCTCACTCAGGTTCTCATGTGTCCTGAAGAAATGAATCTATTTTTATTCCACTTGTTATCTTTGTGTTAGTTAAAAAGAGAGCCACAATTATTTACCCTAACAAAAGCCAGTCACTCAGGAACACCAGCTTAGCCTGTAGAGCATTTAATAGCAAATATGTTAATCTTGAATTTAGTCAATATCAGATTTTACCTGCAATCGTGTTTACTGGTGCTGAATACACGTGTATATAGTAAATAAATGGTTTTCCCTGCTCTAATGCGGTCTAGTGAAACTTAACTTGGGTCAGCAAACATCAGCATTACTTATAAGTAATAAATAGGGAACAGACTTTTTATTCTGACATCCATCCTGAAATGTCTTGGTTACCCATTGAAACTTTCAAGACAATAATAAAGTAATTAAAGTTCTTGCAAAGATTTGTCATTGGGCGTCTAAACCTGAGTATAGGAATCAGAAGAGTTGCCCTCTGGGAAGCATTCCTTTGTCACTTGTGTATTGCTCAGTTGTTCAAAGTACGTTGTTAATATGCTTACATAAGAATTTGATCTCCAATTTAGGAGTCACCATATGGGAACTGATGACATTTGGAGGAAAACCCTACGATGGAATTCCAACCCGAGAAATCCCTGATTTATTAGAGAAAGGAGAACGTTTGCCCCAGCCACCTATCTGCACTATTGATGTTTACATGGTCATGGTCAAATGTAAGAGCAAAATAATTTCATCACCACCATCATCATTCTTAGTAAAGTGGCAGCACAGATTAATCTACCTGCATAATGTTTTTGTATATTAATAAATATAAAAGCTCAAAATAATTATGGAAGAAGCATGTAAAACACCTGTGTTTTTTTTGTGATTATTGTTAAAATGAAGCTGTATCATCCTTCTGTGCTATAAAGTCAAATTATATGATTTTTATCATTTCCATGACAATCAAATTCTCTTACATCAAGAGATGTAACTAGCCTCAATATTAGTAATTTTATAGGAAAACTAGAGGCCCGATGCATGAAATTTTTACAAGGGCCTTGGCCCCGGCCCCGCCCACTGCTGCCGCGGCCCCCCTGCCAACTGCAGCTTTATATGGAAGGAAAGACATCCAGAAGGACATCCCGTCTAATTTGCATATTATACTTTTATTGTTATAGAAACCAGGCTAAATAAATGATCAAAATATAAAGAAAGAAAGCTTGAAATTGATAGCTTAAATATGAATGAAATGGAAATGGGTTTTTGGCCACAGGAAATGATCCAGGCAGAGGGGAAGTGGGTAGACATGAATCTACATTGAACTAAAATATCACACATGTTTACTTACTTCAATTTGATCATTTGTTTACGTCTAACTTTTCTTTTTCCTTTCTATGCCTAGACATGTGTTTTAGAAGCCGAGGCTCTTAATTTAAATAGAATTAGAAAAGTCTCAGGAGTTTCTGACTTAATTTAAGCGAGATTAACATTCAGCAATCTTTCTTGTGTAATTTGGGGTTTTCCCCTTTTGATTTGCACAGGATTAGCAAAGAAACAAACTGGTGAAGGTGAATAAGCATCTTATTAATAAGAGACTTTGGACCCAGGTCTACCCTATTTATATTCATGACATGTGTGATACATTCTGACAGTGAGGGAAGAAATAAAAAATGTGCTTTCCAGTGCAGGTCAGCATGCCCTTTTCTCTAAGCATAGTTCTATTTACTCAATATTTAGTTAGAAAGAAATTGAAACCTCGCTGTGAAGTTAACCTTTTTTTGTTCCAATAGTTCTAGAAACACTATCTTCTGATTAGCATCTGGGCATCAAAAGTATTACTCCCGCCCCGCCCCCCCCCCTCCCCGAGGATGCATGTAGAATACAGAGCATTTCAACTTTGTTAGGAGAAATAAAATTCAGGTGTAATTAATGATATACAAAATGACACCCAAGGACTTTCCAGAATAAGAATAAAAATTGAACTCCTAGACAAAAGAGAAAGGAGCTTTATGGCTCTACTAGTGACCCAATGCACAGATTCGTGCACATTGAAAGGAAATTAATTAGAAGGTGGCCGGTGGGGCAGGACTGAGTGAGATGGGCCGAACACGCCCTGGAGCCAACCTCCAGCAGTCCCTCCCCGGCCAGCCACACCTGTGGTGGTGCCGGGCTTGAAGGGTGTCTGTGGAGTGAGCAGCATCTCTCTGGCAGGTGGGGTTCCTTGTCCTGTCCTGTGAGGATTGGGCCGAAACCGGCTTTCTGACATCCCCCAAGGGATCCCGGAGTGTGAGAGGGCACTCTGCAAAGCTGCTGTCATACAGGGTATGGAACGCAAATGCAAGTGTGCAGTAAACCAGATTCAGGGCCAATAGTATCCCAGCAACAGCATAACCCACAGCCGAAGGTGGAATCACGTGGCCCCGCGAGGAATCAGGCTCCCTCATCTCTGGTTCCAGGGTGTGTCACCCAAGAACCACTGCTGCCAAGTCACCTCAGCTGGGCAGCTCCTACATTGAACATCTGCCCCCTGGTGGTCAGTGTGCATCATAGCTACCGGTCGGACAGACACTTAGCCTTTTATATATATAGATTGGATCAAGCACTGACCAGAAGTCATCTATGGAAGAATGTTTAAAAACATGCACACATTATATAATTTGATCTCATAACTAGCATACAGGATGATTTAGATACTTTATTTAAATACCCTGATGAAACAATGAAAAATTAAGAAAACTTTGCCCAATAGGGAGTTTTACCTTGCTTTTAGGAGTTTTCATACCTAAGAAAAGGGTCATTTGGCAAGAAAATCAAGGAAAACTTGATACTTTTATTTTTGTCATCAGCTACACAGAGCCTGGGGAGATGAGACCCATTTTATCTAGACTTCCAGCTAAATAATAATGCATACCCTGAAAATTGCTGAGAGAATTTTTATTCTGAAAAGGCTAATACTAAAATAAGCTAATGGTGATTGCTGAACAAACATTACCAATCACTGTACATTAGTTTGTTGTTGTTTTTATTTCCCCCAACCAGGGAAAAAGGTAACATTAAAAAGTTGCTTTCTATTCCTTTTTTTTTTTTACCCTTTGTACTATTGTACCACATTATAACCAAAGCTTTTATTCCATGGCACTCCTGATACAAAATAATAAATTATATTCCAATCACCTCTTCTATAACCATCAAAGAAAAGTTTTAAAAGAGAATTTTCTCTATACCTAAGAAAAAACTATCGGAAACTCTGTAAGTTAGTACAGTTAAACTAGGTTACATTTTTTTGGAAGAAACCAATTTTAATTTAGATCATGAAAATACAAACTTATGTTATCCTATAGTATATTATGTTTAGTTGTGTCAACAAACTGCTTGAAGTAGAACCTTCGCCTTTTGGATTGTTTCTTTCATTAGCTTTCTTTGTTTTTCAAAACATTACTGTAAAAAACATATTTCTCCTATATTTTCATAAATCCCATGTCCCATTTCTTCCTGATTATGATTTTTATTGCATGTGAATTTCTAGGTTGGATGATTGATGCTGACAGTAGACCAAAATTTAAGGAACTGGCTGCTGAATTTTCGAGGATGGCTCGGGACCCTCAAAGATATTTAGTTATTCAGGTTAGTACATATGACAGATTTTTAAGAATTTCCCAATGGCAAACTCACTACAAATATGAGTGATATCTGGGCTTTGGAACTGTGGAAATCACCCTCACAAATAGATTAACTAAGCAGAATATCATGTGAAATGACTTATGGGAAAGAGCTTTTACTTGATGTCAGAACACTTCTAAGCACCTTCCCTTAGTATTCAAGTGCCTCTGCTATTGAACAGCCAGATAATTATGATTATCCATCTACATAAAAAGCCTTTATCCTCAGACTAGCCTTCCAGCACTCCGCTTCGTGTTAGCATTATATGTATCATGTTCATTATTATAATCTTCCCTTTTCAGATCAAAAAAGGATAGATTTTTATCTTAATCTTGTCCATGATTGAAGACAATGAAGTAAAGCTTCAATATATTGATATTTTATTTCATAGAAAACTATTTTTTAAATTTTGGGGGGGATATATTTAGTATCTAAGCATAACTCAGATTAAAATGAATTGATATACATATAAATTAAATAACAGGCTAAAAGAAGATTTCATGTTTAACACTAGAAAAAAAATAGATTGGGAGCCTTAGCTGGTTTTGCTCAGTGGATAGAGCATCAGACTGTGGACTGAAAGGTCTCAGGTTTGATTCCCGTCAAGGGCACATGCCTGGGTTGTGGGCTCAATCCCCACTAGGGGGCCTGCAGGAGGCAGCCAATCAATAATTCTCTCTCACCATTGATGTTTCTATCTCTCTCTCCCTCTCCCTTCCTCTCTGAATTCAATAAAAATATATTAAAAAAATGAATTGGGTAATTTAAAAAAGTATAAAATATTTTTCTGTGATGATTTTTACCTAAACCATAAACAAATAGACCTTGGCTTACACTCAATAAAACAAGGTAGTGATTATCTTCATATCTATAGTCTGACATGAAGATAAAAGCTAGGTATTACAAGATAATGATTTCCAACTATCTCTCTCAAATTAACTTTTATAAGCAGTCTACTTACCAAAAGAAATATCACATAACTTTGAATATGAAATAGATGAGGTAAGAAAGAGTATAACAAGGGTTTGGGTGTCTCTCCCACTCCTATTTATGTTACACGCCACGTTGGCTGTGATTTTGAATGCTGTCACTTCAACAATGTTGTGTGCTGTAGGAAAAATCATGGAGCCTATGCATCCTGATAACTCTACACTATTAAACAAACCACCCTAAAAACAAAGATTGATAAATCAATTTCCTTTATTATTTATTCTTAAAGTCAAATCCCAGACACCATGTTGGCAGTAAAGCCGACCATTACTCTCAGATCTGAAATGTGTTTTGCCTTCCTCAAAACACAGCATTTTGCCTTATTTATCTCTAATGGCATTTAGTGTATTCTTCTTGTATTAAATGTGCCATGCCTTGTCATATCTGAGCATTTTACAGGCTCCTTTATGGCTGGAAGTTATGCTAAAGAACTATTTTTTACATGAATACATGAATTTTCAAACATTGGTTTTGATATTACATAAATTTACTGCAAAGGCCATGTATTTAAGATAAAAGGAAGAATCAATTTTTGTGTTTCTGATGGGCAATCCTTTAGGGTGATGACCGTATGAAGCTTCCCAGTCCAAACGACAGCAAGTTCTTTCAGAATCTCTTGGATGAAGAGGATTTGGAAGATATGATGGATGCTGAGGAATACCTGGTTCCTCAGGCTTTCAACATCCCACCTCCCATCTATACGTCCAGAGCAAGAATTGACTCAAATAGGGTAAGAAGTAATTATATATCAAGTATCATATTAGTATCATATTATTACTGAGAAATGAAATTATGTAAATATATTTAAAGGCTAAAATTATAAAACAATTTTATACCCAAAATCAGTGTGATTGCTAGCTTAACAACATACCATATACCATACCAAAAACAGCTATTCTAAACTTGCCATATGTAGTTAATTTTGGAATAAAAGTATAGAATACAATATGCACTTTGAAATATCTTCAAGATTTCAGAAGGGGAAACATTTTCTTTATCTTAAGTAAGTTAAAACAAATATTATTTTTAAAATTCTAAAACCAATTCAAATGATTAAAACTGCACATGTATAAATAAATGAAATTTTTTATCAAGATGGGTTTTCTACTTTTCTTTCTTAATAAGATGATATAACTTATTAGTCAAGAGGTAATACCAATACAACTCTCTTTCACTCAGAAACATTAAATATTTTGTCAAGTTGAAGCAGAAAGAGAAAATTGTGCAATCCTTTGAATGAAATTAATAATATTAGGAGGACTGCTTAATCATTCTGAAGATGTAGATTTGTTTTGAAAGAAACGTCTGAAAAGAATTTGCATTTCACTTATCATATTAAGCCCATTCTCTATGAATACCATTCTTTTTCTGACAACTGTCAATCCATGTATTCATTTATATGTTTATTTTAAAATGTTATTCATAATTCATTCAGCATGTATTGAGTATCTCTGCATGTGAGGCACTGGAGATTGAAAGAATTTTGCCATACCTCCTGCCTTCAACAGTGCCCAGTAAATGAAAGAGACACACAACTATAGAGACAGAGTACAGCATTAAGTGTTGTTACCAAGAACTGGCCATTGTATAGCAAGGAGAAGCAGTAAAATAATGTCTGTAATCTTTTATTTTCATTGATAAGGCATAAATATGATGCTTAGTTTTTTTTTCTAAAGAGCCATTTTTTTCTCTAAGTCTCTTCCTCCATCTAAGAACATTATAACTTGCAAAACAAGGAGCATTCTAATTGTCTTGACCCTGGACATAATAAAACGTTCACCTTGCTGCTCATTCTCTGAAATAAAGTTGACAGCAATAATAAAGTAATACCTAGTATTTCTTATATGTCAACACACATATAGTGTCTTCTAATCCTTCCCTCAGTCCCTTGAGATCCTATTATTATTGTGCCCATCTTAAAATGAGGAAACTTGCCACAAAGTGATGTGATTTAACTAGTATCACACAGTTAGCCAATGGAAGAGCAGGTTTCTAATGCATGTCGTCTGTCTCTACTACACACCCTATTGCTTCAGAGTTAATAGAACGTGTTATTTTCATGATATGGTTGTTTTTATTGACATCAACTGCAACATGCTATTTGGGGAATTCCCAGGTGATTTTCTTATAAAATGCATCCCCAACCTGCCCCACACCTTTTGCCCAGCCTAGAAGGTCTGATATAGAAAGAGTCAGTGGTGGAGACCTCAATTAATTTTTCTTTTCTATGAAAAATATGTCTTGCATCCCAGTGGGGAGAAGATATAACTAAAAGATTTAAAAATTAAATCAACTAACAGATATTGATAATCAATCTCTAATGGGAAGGAACAGTCGTTAGATGTATGAAAGGGGCACCTTTCTTTTCTTCTGCACATTTAGCAAAATGGCCAAATTATGTCTTTGGTATTTATAATTCTATGTGAAAACTTTATAGCTTTTTATTAAAACAGGGAAATTTTAAGGAAATTGTTTTCCTTCCTTAACATGGAATCAAAAGCTTGAATCTTTCTCTACTCATAAGAATTCTCAAATTCCAAATTTCTCTTCATTTTAATTTATACTCAATGCAAGGAATGTTTAATAAAGATTTGAGGTAACTAAATGGAATTAATGAGAAAAAAGTAGAACCCACAGGAGGAATTACTTGGTCTTCAGCCATCATTTCTTATTCTACATTATTACTTAAACAATATTATCTGTAGTATTCTTTTAACTTTTTCTGGCCATTGTTAAAGGAATTATGCTTAAATATCGCTTTCATTTTCAGAAATTAAAAAGCTTCAATAGTCATCTATGTTATTCTATTTTTTCCCAACCTGGCTTTATGTAACTTTTATGGTAATTTCTAACATGTGAAAATTCTCCTACCCCCTTCTTTTCTATAAAGCTAAGTTATGTTATACTTAGAAAATAGGTTACTTCAGTTTTAGGAATTGTGGATAACTTAGGTGGTAAAGGAACATCTTAAAGTGAATTTTAATCTGATGTTTCTTAAGAATATTCTTTGGACTTTAAAAGATAATTATCATAAGACTAGAGGCCCGTTGCATGAAGAGATTCGTGCAGTAGGCCTTCCCTTCCCCTGGCTGCCGGCACCGGTTTTCCTCCGGCACCCGGGACCCAGGCCTTCACTCCGACGAAGCCTTCAATCTTAGCTCCTCTGCTTCGCCCCTACATATGCAAATTAACCACCATCTTTGTTGGGTTAATTTGCATACTCTCCTGATTGGCTGGTGAGCATAGAGGAAGGATAGTTAATTTACATGTTTGTCTATTATTAGGTAAGATAATTCCGTTTTCTTGGCTAGTGACTGCTCACTAGCCAAGCAACTTTAGGTAATGTTCTGAATAACTTTACGACTTTTTTTCTTCATTTGTAAAATAAACACATTAATATTTATCTAAGATGATTATTAGGCATATGACTTTGAAAAATTGCAGAGTATCTGAAGTGCCCAGCAAGTAAACAATTCTTACCATCTTTTTAGAATCACCCAAAGATACTTGATTGAAGACCAACCAACTACTAGTAAATAAGAAAAGCAAAGTCTATTTATTCAGAGAGTGCTATAGCAAAGGCATCAGTCACCATGGCTAATGTTTTGGCAGAGACTCAAAGGCAGACAGAGGAGAGAGAAAACTTTAGTGGGAGAAAAAGAAAGGCTTTGAGTATGTTCTGCTTGGAGGTTGTTGTCCTGAGGAAGCTGTATGTGGGCGGAATAGAAGTGGGTCATCTTATGTGATTCATTAGGGGTACATATTTTGCTTTTTCTGATTGTTCCTAATTTGAAAGTGGGGACAAAAATGAAGGAAGCTGTTAGTTATTAAACAAGTTTAGTGCCTAGCCACTGTGACTCAGTGGTTAAGTATTGACCCATGAACCAGGAGGTCACAGTTTGATTCCGGTCAGGGCACAAGCCTGGGTTGTGGGCTCCATCCCCAGTCGGGGGAGTGCAGGAGGCAGACGATCAATGTTTCTCTGTCATTGATGTTTCTGTCTCTCTCTACCTCTCCCTCTCTATTTTCTGAAATCAATATAAAATATTTTTTAAAAATTTAAGTCTTGATAATTTTGAACCAACTGTTACACAAGTTATCGTTTAGCTTCCTGAACTGCTCCTAGAGATAGTAACCTGAACTGCTCCTAGAGATAGTAAATCTGACATAGCCAACTGGCTTTCTGGGCCATGTGTCGCACATCCGGTTTCCTGGGAAGGTTGCTGTCAGTTGTGGGTTAGATCTCTATTTTTACATATGATCGGGTCATTGTCTGTTTGTATAATCAATCTACCAATAGGTTTTAGGTTCTATTGCTACGTTATTTTCTCTCTTGATATATTTACTTAAATACATTTTGCCCAACATTCCAATTAAATGTTCAATACAGTTTTGAAATTTCTGCATACATTTATTTTCTGTTAATGCAGATTTATTTTTCTTTCAAGTTACCTAGGTTTGTGTTTGTTTGGTATAATGAACTGTACATTAAATGCAACATCAATGGATAGGTAATAAATTAATGTGGCTAAGTATATTTTAGTTTTAATAATAGTATAAAGTTTAATGTAAAAGTTTCAGTGCATTTTTTATAGAGGATGGCATGAGTTCAATTGTTACAGAACCATTCAGTCATTTGTGATGAGTAGTCTTAAAGATTAAATGCCCCACCTCTTTGAAAACATATCAGCTAATTCCAAATTATCCAGGCCAAAGAGACAGGGAGCCTCATAGCTGCTGCATAAGGTGGAGCCAGAGACCCACCGTACATTTATCGTTATAGTTTAAACTTCTTTTTGATTTTTTAAGGAATAACTGTATTAACAGATTTGTACTTTATCCTTCCTGTTTGTCCCCACTCTCCCAAAGATGGGTATATAAATGAGTTGAAATATAGCTAAATGTAGTCAGAAGAAGTAAAGGATGAGTAAAATAAGAGTTTGGTACCTCAAATTTTTATCAGTTTCTAAATAATTGAATATAGGCTAAATATTTGACATCTCAAAATATGTGACTTCTATGTTTACTTTATTTTGTACCACTATCACATTGCCCTCAGATAAGATTTCATAACTTCGATAAACATATTTTAGTAAGGTTACCACACACATTGTAGTTATTTTTGATGTTCTTACCAATTCATCACTTAAAAAATATAAATAAAACATTGGTCTCCCTGTAAGATTTATAATATTGTGCTATATATGTTTCTAGTAATGCATAAAATAGTAGAAATTCAGGCAAAGTGATGATGCAAAAACAATAATGTTATTCTTAATAACGACATTTGAAAATATGAGAATTTCATCTGGGTTTGTCTTTGAAGTCCAGTAAATCAAAACCATGACCTTTATTTTATGAAATAATAAAAATAATGATAATAATATCAGCTAAAGCTTACTGAGTGATTACTATAACCCAGGTACTATGCTAGGTGCTTAATATTAACTATTTCACAAAGCTCTATGAATTAGGTGTTAATATTTGTCTGGTTTTAAGAGTTAAGAAAATTGAGCTGTGAAAAGTTTAGGTAACTTACAAAATGATAAAAAGCAGAGCTAGAACATCCAGCTTTCAACAGTCCCACATGGAGTCCTATTCTTGACATAGCAACTTACTATTAAATTTTTTGCTATTTATGGAACAAACACCTTTGTTTCACTCAATGGTAACTGGCTAACAGCAACAAAGTTAAATGTCAAGAATTTCACATTCTAGAACCAATGCTTT